AGAGCCGGGCTCCGATGCGAGCTCTTGGGCGGCGCGCGGTGCCGATCGTTCATTCCTCGGTCATTCCTCCTCCTCCTCCTCCTCCTCCCCATTATCATCCTCCTCCCCATCCTCCTCATCCTCATCCTTCTCTTCCCCCTCCTCTTCTATACCTGGTTGGCAGAGTGAGAGAGGGAGAGAAGGGGGAGAGAGAGGGGGAACGAGAGAGATACAGAGAGAGAGAGAGAGAGAGAGAGAGAGAGCGAGAGATAACGAACAAACACAGCACAAAGCAAGCAAATGGGGAAATCTATAGGAGGGAGGTGGGAGAGAGGAGAGAAATAAAGAGAGAGAGAGAGAGAGAGAGAGAGAGAGAGAGAGAGAGAGGGAGAGAGAAAGAGAAAGAGAGAAATAACGACAGAAAGAGAGAAAGACATTTAAAGGATATACAGAAATCTATAAATACAGGAACAACTGGCAATGAAGAGGCGGAGGGCTTTCTGGAGGAAGGGAGCTCGGGGGCCTTTGGCAGGCCCACCCTCTTCGTTCCCTACTTAGGCTCTGCCTAGAAGGGTTCTTACTCTCTTGGCTTAAAGGGCCGGGCAGTGGGCCCCGCCCCGGGCGGTTCCCCCAGGATCCGCCCCGCGGTTCCCCCAGTTGCGCCCCCTGGGTTCACCCAGCTTAGCTTAGCTTATCTTAGCTTAGCTTAGCTTAGCTTAGCTTAGCTTAGCTTGGCCTGGCTTAGCCTATCTCATCTTAGCTTAGCTTTGCTTTGCTTTGCCTAGCCTAGCTTAGCTTAGCTTCGCTTGGCTCAGCTTAGCTTAGCTTCGCTTAGCTTAGCTTAGCGTAGCTCGGCTTAGCTTGGCTTAGCGTAGCGTAGCTTGGCTTGGCTTGGCTTAGCTTAGCTTAGCTTAGCCTAGCCTAGCTTAGCTTAGCGTGGCTTTGCCTAACATATCTTAGTTCACCTTAACTTAGCTTAGCGCTTCGCAGCATAGCACAGCGCAGCATTAGCACAGCATAGCATAGCATCGCATAGCCAAGCATAGCATCGCATGCCATATCATAGCATAACATATCATAGCATAGCTCATCCTATCATAGCATTGCATAACATAACATATCATAGCAGTAGCACAGCAAAGTGTAGATGTAGATGTTGATGTAGGTGTAGGTTTAGATGTGGATGCAGATGCAGATGTATATGTATATGTAGATGTAGATGTAGGTGTATATGTAGGTGTAGATGTAGGTGTAGATGTATGTGTAGATGTGAGTCTCGCTGTTGATGTTGATGTAGATGTAGATGCAGGTGTAGATGTAAATGTAGCTGTCGGTGTAGATGCAGATGTTGTTTTCCTAAATGCTCCAACTCCTAGGTAGGGTCGCACTGGGATAATTTCTTTGTTTGCCTCTTTATGTTATGTCTCTTGTTCCGCTTCCCCCCCGCCGCCCCGACCCCAGCGACGGCGTGCCAGACAAGAGAGCACATTTAACATGCATGTTATACATACACACACATATATATCCTTCCTTCTCTCCCTCTCCTCCTCCTCCCCCTCCTCTTCCTCCTCCTCTTCCTCCTCCTCCTCCGACTCCTCCTCCGACTCCAGCACAAAAGGTGCGCCCTCCACGAGGGGGGGGCAAAGGGGGGGAAGAGGGGGCGATTTAAAACACCAAAGGTTTCAACACTTACCCCATCCCCGCCGCCGTCACAGAGAAAGTGCTGCAACTTTTGGCTGTTTAAGTTTGTGTTGTTGTGTCCTGGTGGTTTCTGTTGTTGTTCAGCCCTGCGTCCTTGGCTTCTTTAGTCATTGCTGTGTTTCCTTATGTTTTTGTTGTTCAATGCCCAGAAGGCTTCGGAAGCTCCAGGAGGCCACGGGAAGCCGCAGGAGGTTTCAGGAGGCCGCAGGAGGCCACTGGAAGCTTCAGGAAGCCCCAGGAGGTTTCAGGATGCCTTAGGAGGCCCCAGGAAGCCCCAGGAGGCCCCGGGAGGCCCCAGGAGGCATCAGGAAACCCCAGAGGGCCCTAGGAGGCCCCAGGATGCTCCAGGATGCTTTAGGAAACCCCAGGAGGCTCTAGGAAGCTTCAGAGGGGCTACAGGAGCACCCAGGGGGGCCTGCAACGGCATGCGCCCGACGCCCCTTTCCCAACGCAGTCGAGCAATAATTGGGGTGCGTACTCGAGGCTAGAATCTCATTGAGCGCGCTGCCAGCGCATCTGGGGCTCAGGAGCGCGCGCCGCCTCGGCGGCGCTCGCCCTCGCCCGAGCCCGAGCCGACAACGCTGTTTGCGTTGCGCCAGCGTTACTGGCGCGAGCGCAGCCGCCCACTCAGTTCGCACCGAGGAATCCCGCGACCTCCGTCTCCTCCGCGGGAGAAGGCAGGCGAGGGGGCGCCGCCGCGTCGTCCTCGTCCATCAGCTGAGAGAGCTCCATGTCCACCTGCTCGCGGGCAGGGGCAGCAGCTGCAGATCCCGAAGACGCCTCCGCGGCCTGCCGCTTAGCTGGGGACGGGGGGCTCTCGATGTTGAGCGTGCCAGAGAGAGCCACCAAGCTCCTGAACCTCTTCGTCTCTGGAGACGGATGCTCACGCTTCGCGGAGATCTGCGCGCGCGGGGGCGGCGGTCGCTGCGGCTCTGGGCCCTGATGGCGTTCTCCACAAAGGCCTTCCTTCTGCAGCAGCGCGTGCTTGTTCGGCGGCGGCGTGAGGTCCCCCGCTCTGAACAGGCCGTGGAGTCGCTTGCCTTCCGTCTCCAGGGACACGTCCGAGCTGCAGATCGACTTGCGCTGGACATTGGCCTCGTCCGTCCCTGGGGCGCCAGTGCGCGTGGGTCTTAGTGTTCGCGAAGAAGCCCGCGCGCTTCATGAATGCCATCGCGCAAGCGCGAGTAGCCTTCTCGTGGAAGGCTGGCCCGACGCGGTTGGAGAAGTCCTGGAACTTGACGGACGGCCAGCAGTCCTTCTTCACTGCCTCAGGGCCGCGCACCTGGTCCGCGATGGCGCGCGGTTCGCCCGTCGCCCACTCGGCAGCCCCCGGCCGCGCCCATCACATGGGCTCGAACTGGCCGGCGCCCAGCAAGGCCTCGACCAATTTCGACGGCAGCTGGCCGAGGGGGCTATCTTCCAAGAAGCCGCCCATGGTGAGAGAACCGGGCCGCCCGCGCAGGAAATCGATGTCAGGCGTCTCGCGGGCGCGCGCAGATTCGAGGTCCAACTCTCGCGGATGCGGGCGTCGCGGCGGCAGAGCGCGAAGAGGCGCGACCGCCCCGGGGTCGCCTTCCCGAAATTCGGCCCCCCAATGCGCACGATGGAGCCGAGCGGGCCCATTGTGTCTGCCATGGCGTCGGGCGCCCGCGCCGTCAGGGTGGTGCGCCGCTCGGCCTCCTCCTTCGCGAGCGAGCCCTCCGCCGCGAGCCCGCCCGGCGCCTGCGCCGCCAGGGCGACGGGCCAGCCGCGGAGGGGGGCGCCCCTGCGCAGCGCCTTCGCCCGTCAGATCAACTGCTTCAGGTCGGCCGCGGGGCGGGGCGCGTTCTTCGGGATGCACTTGGAGCCTGCGCTTATGTCTTCGTCTGACATCTCGTGAAACTCCTTCGCCTCCGCGCTCGCCTCGGCGTCTGGCGGCGAGAAAACGCGCGAAACTGCTCCCCGCCAAAGCGCTCAAAGGCGCACCGCCGCACCTGGGCCCCCGCCTTGCAACGCGGTCGAACAAAAAATGGAACGAGGGCGCTGCGGCGACTGGGCCAAGTTGCATTATTCTGGACATCTGGGAACAACTTTCAAAAACCATGCCGCCGCACCCTCGCCATCCTTTTCTCCCGAGCCGCGCGCCTCGGGGTGCTGGGGGCAGAGCTTCTCGATGCTGCCGAACGCCATGCTGACTAAGACGGCCGTCTTAGCCTTGTTGGGGATGACGCAATGCTTGATGATGGTCTTCGCGCCGTCGGGGGCGTCAACGATGCGGGCCCGCAGCGCCGCGTGGCTCAGCGGCGCCGTCTTGAACCCGAACGGCGGCGGCATCTTCTGGAAGTCGTCGCCCTTCCGCGCCGCCTTGCATTGCTCGTCCAGCTCGGGGGGGGGGGGGGGGGGGGGGGGGCCCGTGTCTGCATGCCCAGTGATGAAGTCAACATAGTGCACGAGTGAGTTCTCGTTGGCGCCGACGTTGTTGGCGAGCTCAAAAAATGACTCCTGTCCGCGATGGGGCAGTTCGGCCGTCGCCACTGGTGCAGGAAGAGGGCGGCAGAACCAGCCCTCCGTCGCCGCCTTGAGGCCCTCGCACGCGGACATGGCGCGATTTCGAAAGACGCCAACGGATTGCCAGAAGGCGCTGGCCTGGTGTTGCTATTGAGCCCGGACAGCTACGAGCCGCGACAAACGCCAGGAAACGCGCGCAACTAAGCGGCTGCCCCGCCAGAGACCCCCCGGGGACCGTAGACCAACTTGGACCAACCATTGCCTCGCACTGTTTCGGGGCAAGCGAGCCGCGCCCCGCTTGATCTATCCCTGGACGAGACCTTGGACCAGCCGATTGGCAAACCTGGACAGCAGACGATGGGGAGGGAAAGAACAGGGGCATAAAGAAGATGGCCATGACGACGACGACGTTTTCTGGAAGATGGCGTTTGCGGTTGTTTCTATGGTTCCGGTCGCTAGCATAGTCGGGGCAGGCCTTGGAGAACCGATGTGTAGTTATGATTGCGGAGGTGCAGCGTTGGCCGCTGGCCCGCTGGCTGCCCCCCCGCCGAAGTGGTCGCCCGCTCGGTCAGTCACTGCAGGCGGCGGCGCAATCCACGGAGACCGGACAATTGGCCCACGTGCACGCGGCTTTCCGGCTTCGCGCCGCCCATCTCGGCGGCGCCAGCCCCAGCGGCGGCGCGGGGAGGAGGGGGGGGGGCAGGCCGGGGGGCGGGGGCATGGGCACGGGTGGCAAAGACAATCGCAATAGCAGCGGCCGCGGCATCAATGCCATTCGTCGCGGCAGGAGCAACGACGCGGCGGCAGCAGCAGTAGCGCATCAGTGACCATCGCTAGCACCGCGATCGCCGATCGATCTCCGCCGCCGAGATCGGCCCGATCGCCCCCGCATCATTGGCCGCGCGCGCGGGCGAGCGTCCCGCGTCAAAGACCGCTGCGCGGCGGGGGGGTAGGCCGAGCGACTGCTGGGCGATCCAGCCCATCCTGTTCCACGTGGTGGGCCACTCGACCTCCGCCGCGTCGCGCAAGCGCGGGTAGTCGGGGAAGGCGAGCGCCGCGGTGCACGTGCGGTCGCGGTCATCGTGGCGGATGCACTCCGCCACCGCATCGAAGCAGCGGTATTCGCGGACGATGGCATCGCCCACTGCGGGGTCGCCCGACACCCGCAGCGGGCCCGCGAAACCTGGCGCCAGGAATGGAAGAAGTTGGGCCAGAAGCACACGGTGAACTTGTCCTGGGGCCAACCGAAAACTCGCTGCTCACTGCTGGAATGCGGGGTTGGGCGGCTGGAGGTTCAATGCGAAAAAAAGGACAGCGCCAATGTCTACGCGACAAAACTGACGCTGAGTTCCCCCCCCCAGTCTTTGCCCGCGGCCAAGCGTTGAGACTGCGCTGGCCCGATCTCGTGCCACGCTGAGTCGGATGGCACGAGGTTGCCAGGCGCGGCATTTGGGGGAAGGCAAGTTCGAACGACATTGCCCGAGGTTTGCCCTGGGCTGGTGGGCGGGCGGGAATGCCAGGTGACTCTGAAGGGGCCCGAGCACTCGCGGAGAAAGGTGGCCAGACTGGCGACGGCGAGCACTGGGCCGGCGGGCGGGCGGGCGGGCGAAAGGTGGCTAGACTGGCGACGGCGACGACGCGACGACGACAGCAGCGACCAAACCTCATCACGCGCACCAGAAAACGGCCGAGTCTCGCGTGCACATGCGGCACGACACATGGCAAACAAGGCGCTCCCGCGTGGTGAGAGACACCCGCGCGCCATAACCGAAGTGCACGCCCTCGCACGCTTGCAGTCGGCTCTATATGCTGGAGTTGGTAACTGTTCAATCTTCTGTGGAGCAGCGGTGGCAGTCGGGCGGCGGCCGCGCCCCGCCCCCGCGCCAGCGGGGCGGCGTCCCGCGCGGGCGTCGCCCGCCCAGGCACACCTCAGAACGCGGACCCCATCAGGTCGCGCATCATCGCGCCCGCGGCAGCCCGGAGATCCTGACCGCGATGCCAGTGCTCCTGCTGAGCGGAGCGGACGCGGGCGGCAAGTGCTCTGCCGCGCGGCTTGCACGTCCAAGGGCCGATGCGTTTCTTGACGTGCTTCCAAGCCCTGTCGATGATCTGCGCGCCCGTCTAATGTCGCCGCCTGGGGGCTTGTGCTTGGCGATGTTGAAGCGCGCGGGCGTGATCCGCGCCCACTTGCCCCCCCCCGCCGCGCACGCCCCCGGCAGCGGGTCGCTGCGTCGCGGGGCAAGCTGGGGGCCCTCGCCTCGTAGCTCCCGGCGCCGTCCGAGTGCAGGATCACTGTGCGATCCTTGAGGCGGCTTAGGAGGAACGACTTCCAGTCGCTCTTCTTGGTTGCGCCTGGGCCAGGTGCGTTCGTGGCGGGGCGGTCCGACTCCGCCTTGAAAAAGACGGGCGTGTCTGGCTTGCCCCTCTGCGCGACCCCGGCCCACTGCCCCCACTTGTTCGCCCCCTTGTCTTCCGCGGCCGCCGTGGCGAAGACTGACTCGCAAGCTTCCGCGCCCGCCCACTTCTTGCCGCCGCCGCGCGCGATGTCCGTCTCGTACTTCTCTACGCACTGCTTGCGGGCCAGGTCGAGAGCGCGGGCCATGTCCTCGATCATCTTGTGGTTGGTACCGTAGTGCTGGTGGATCTGCGCTGTCGTCATCCCCGTGAGAATGCCGAACAGGACCCTGCATTTGTTCTTCAAAGATGACGTCTCCTTCCCCCCAGCCGCT